GCGATTTGATTATTAAAACAATAAGCTGAACTACTCATACAGCAATGTTAAGAAACCATATTACTTCTTTAAATGCATTATAAACAATCTAAAGCATTCAGACTGGCCCCTTGCTCCTGTAGAAATGCAATTTAATAAGCAGGCAATCACATATATCAAAAAACTTTTACACATATCTAGCAAACTCATTTAGCTGATTATTAACTCAGAGTTCTATACTCAGATCTATTCTAATTACTAAAGGACCCTTAAAAAACAACAATCTTTTCAACAAAGCTTGCTGCCCATCCCTTATAAACTCATTATTCAATTAATCACTTGAATATATTATACTTCTAAAAACCGCAAACCCAATATATAATACAAGAGCCTTGCTGTTTGGCTAAACAAATAACAACCCACTCTTGCTTCTTCTTCTCTACCATAAAGATCGAAGTCTACAATAAGCCTATCCACCCAGAAACCAAGCTTTGCTTTAATAACAATCCGGATCAGATATTCCCTTTTAGAAATAGAAGTGGATCACATTCGCAGAAAAGCGAATAATCCCTGGCATTGAAATTAAATTGCTAAATTCGGTTGCAACAATCACACCACTCAAATAGTTCCTTATCTTAACATGTCTAAATACCCTTAGGGAGGTTCAAAACAGACGTTAATTAATATAAATAAATAAAAATAAATAAATATAAATAGTAATTACAAGTATAACCCTAGATTGAGCTATCGAAAATATACAGAAGGTATTATAATAGGCAATCAAAATAATAGAAAAACTAAATCAGAAAACAGAAAAATCGGCCTCTTGGTAAATACCCGACTACACAATCGCTTGAGATGTATATCTTCGAAACTATATAACCAATAGTAATTACTCTATAGAATGCAGAGCATTTTTATCATATATACAATAGGCCAAAAGAGAGTACTAAAGGAAATTCCTTAATAAAATGAAATCAGATTGAGATCTGTATAGAGTAATCGGATAGTATAATCTGAGCTTTATATATCGCTTTTTACTAATCATAATAATAAATATATCATTATATCGAATAAAGAAAAGGCTGAGCTGTATATTTAGAGATTCTACAGCACTTTAAAGTTATCGATGATCTTCCGATTTTAGATATAATCAAAATAGGGAAAAACTACTTTAGGGAGAGCCCATCTCTATAAAGGAATAGAATATAATACTATAGGAATCTCGAATATATCCCTAGGAACAAACGAATCACAATAAAACTATTAAAAGCTATTTAGACAGAAATAGGCCCAGTTCTATATACTATTTTTAACAAATATCTATAGCTCAATCATTTCTCTATAATATAAAAACAAGTAGAGATAGTTATACTACCAAAAGTAGGGAAAACAGATCAAACGTCCCCACAATCATAACAGTCTATTACTTTCCTTTTCTGTATTAAAAAGAATCTTAAAGGATTATAATAAGATATTTAATATAAATAGCTTTAACACAAGAAATACTCAGCCCACAATATTACAAGCCCTTCCAAAACGATTAGTTATAGACTTAATAGTATTATTCGTTTATAATGCAAAAGTAGTATTCAATAAAAATTACGAGATTATAATAATTATATTGGATATATAAGAAACGTTTGATACTCTACTTAAAAATAAATTTCTGAAACAAATAAGAAAACAAAGGTTTTTATAGAACCTGATTATTCTAATCAATTTCTTTCTAATCTAAAGATAACTCAAAATTAGATTTAACAAATAATAACTAGCTATAATATAATAGAATATAATATTCTATAAGGTTTATCTCTCTCGCCAATTCTATATATACTTTATCTTGTAGAGCTATTCTAATAAAACTCTAAACTCTGATTTGGATATGTAGATAATATCTATTTATATCGATTATCAATAAGTATTCAATAAAACATTGTAATACTAATAAGAAATATGAAAAGCATATTCTATTAAAAAGCTAAAAACAAAATAATCTTTATACCCGAAAAAGATAGAGATGATTTATATAATATAATATAAGCATTTTATTAATCTGATATACAAAATAAATCGTGATTATACTATCTCTCCAATCGTATTAGGATCAGCTTTATAATAACTAAATGTATAATTTGATTACAAGCTTATATTCAAATAGTATATTGAAATACAAGCAGTCAAAGGCTGGAAATTGGCTTATTATATTCAAGGGCTAGTCCAAATCACAAATGGATCTCTAGTAGTATTTTTATAGAAAGTAGTAATCATTTGTTTATACTCAATTCTATTTTATAGGGTAAAGGTATAATATATAGGATAAACAAAAAACCACTGGATAGTACTGAAATGGGATATTAATAATAATAAATATCTAATAGAAAGAGCGATTCTAACTATAATAAGATACTATAAATAACAATCAGAAAAATCCTTCCAGTCTAGCGAACAATCCTGAATATAGTGATAATAAAGGATAAGCGCTTTTCTATCAATAAAAATAATATTAGAACAATAAAATGGAAAGCAGTTCTCCGTGCCCAAACTATTGATCCAAAACACTCTCTTTATTATCGAGGGATAAAAGCCATCTATTCCTTTAGCAATAGAGAAGGCCAATTGTAGTCAATCAGAATAAAGATCCAGGTAATCAGCTAATACCTTTTTCAAATCAAGAAGACAACTTTAGTAAAGCCCTACTATATATTAGGGTATTGAATAGATCCCATTAAAAACCTTACAAAAAAGATAGCAGCAAAGCAATTCCAGGAATAATGAAATAAACATATATACAATCAGATCACCATATTCTTTAATAAATCGGAATAGATCGATAAGGATAATAGGCGAGTAGGATATGGATATATTATATATAGAGAATAAATAATAGTATACAAAGGAAACGGTAGATTGCATTACAACTCTTATATATTCGATACGGAAGCGATTGGGGCATACCGAGGCTTCCAAGTAGCGATCAGTAATATTATTGATATAAAACGGATGGAAATCTGTATATATATTAATAGTATATCGATAATATAGAGAATAAGAGGTATAGTTTTTATTATATTATAATAGGCTTTGCTTTAATACTACAACTGATGTAAAACATATCGGATTCCAGATCAAATGATTGTTAGGCTATATAGGGATTGAGGGGAATAAGCAAATAGATGTATTTACTGATAAAGGTATAAAGAAGATCAATTTTAGGATATACAAATCGATTTATAGCGAGCGGTATTCGTTTTATAGCAAAAACCGCTATAGAATCGGTAGTACAGATATAGTGGATCAAACAAATACCAATACTCTTTAAACAGTATCAGAAATGGGATTTAAAGAGTACAAACAAATACTTTAAGGAACTAAAAACTCTTATAAGTGACTCTCTATTATATACTAGCGATCCGCTTAGTATATAATGATTTCGAAAACTATTATTAATGATTTAAATACAAAAAAGCAATAATCTATTATTTATATAGTATATTTAAATTCTCCGAGTATATTATGTATTATTACAAAATCCTTATGATCTATAAAACCTAGCCCCTAGATATCAAGTCTAAATACTTATTCTGTAATCAAGTAGTTCAAGAATGATAATTGAAACAGCTAATATATATACTAACCAAATTCACTAAATTTATTATTATAACAAACTTCTATAGAAGTATATACCCTAGAATGCTATCAGAAGAATAGAAAGAAGAAGAAAAGGATCGATTAATCCAGGCGAATATAAACAGAGAGTAGAAAGGAATAAATCTAGAAAAGCTATATGGAAGAAAATTGAAGTACACAGTATACTATATTACAAGAGAATATATATAAAAGCTATCTTATAGAAATAAAGCAGCTTTCAAATAAATATTATATAAGAAATCGAAAAGCATACACAGAGGCACTCAGAGGATCGGAGACAAAGGTGTAAGTATACTAGCCATTGCTTGGGAAGCTACTAAAAGTATTGAGACCCCATCCCTAGAAAAAGAGGATCATATAAATTAGAAGATCACCCCGCAGTTAGCCTAACCGTAATGCCCCCCGGGAGGCTCGCCTATACGGCCCGGTTGAAAAGTACGAATAAAATAATAATAATAATTAAATATTATTGTTTCAAGTATGTTAGAGGAGATTAAATTTTAAATAATTCAATTAATTTTATTAGTTGAAAAAACGATATATATATTTATATAATTATTTCAATATTATATAAACTTTGAATTTGAAATTAATAATATAATCTCAATATTCGATTCTCAAAAATTTCATAATTAAAAATAAAATTATAAGAAGGAAATCTGATAACTATATTGAAATAATCTCAATAATCATTTGTTATATTTAATATAGAATCAATTGTATAGTTGAATTGATATTGATTATTGAAAAAAATCGAGCGTATCGGAATTACTGCATGTCGGAGTTGGTGCTACCAACCACTTAGGGGTGGTTGACAGAATTTTTCTAATAGCCGACAAGTATAGAGCAGAGCAATTCGTATATTTGTGTGTTCTTCTTGAAGGAGAGAATGTAATTCCTTCTTAGGAGGAGTTTGATATTCAAATTTTCAAATTAACTTTTCATGTTTTCATATAGAAAAGATTTTATAAATATTTATATCCATATTTATATTAACTATCTACGTATCTATCTACATGTCTCTTTTTTTCCTTTTTCGGTAACTATAATATAATATTCTTGAATACTCTCGTAATCATCATAGTTGTAAGTTTTTTTTCTTTTCAGGGGAGGTCCGGATGATGAGAAATAGAAATCTCGCTTAATGTGCTGGTGTGTCTTCTTAGCTTTAGATGAGAGAGAGAGGGAGATAGTGGAGGGGGCTTTGATTTTAGTAGATATTCCTCACCATCTAATCATGTCGTAACACACTCCGCTCACCATCTACCGCTATCAAATTTTCTATCGCCATGTATCAACGACTTGAAAAGCGAAGACGAAGCAAAAAACAGCGATCCGATGGAACCAGAACACGAGAGATGAACAACCAGTTAACTCACAATCGAGCCTTGCGATCCAGACAAACACTGAAGTTGATACTCATACTGAAGACGAGACAACGAAGACAGAGAAGCCTCTAGTGCCGCATCGGCATCAAACTCGTGTTTTGAAGACCAGGAGGCTGCTGTTTGTATTTGTGTTTGTGAAGTAGGAGTAGATGCATGTGTATCCGTATTCATATCTCGATCCCTATCCATCATCGTTGCAAAATCCGGATATTCCGCGTCCGCACGCGCCATTCGCAATTTGAATTTGGGCGTGGGTTTCTCGCATCGTCCGTAGAGGGAATCTTCCATGTCCAGCGAGGATCGAGCGTCTTCATTATCGTCGTCGTTGTTGGTGGGATAGCGGTATCGGTATGTATTCCCATTTTCATTGCGATTTTCGGGCATCGTGATGAGTGGGTTTTCAGGAGTAGTAGCGGGATTCGTCTTAGGCTTGGGTCGCATGTGCATATAGGCGAAATCACTTTCTTGGAGTGGTTTTCTGGGTGTGAGAATGAATTCATCGAGTATTTCTTCGACATCTCTTTCTAGATTCGCTTGGTTTTGGGTTTCGAGTTTTGTAGTTTCGTCGGAAGATTCTTGTTGGTTGTCTGAATTGGAATTTGCTGCGATTTTGCTACTATTCTTCAGAGCAGAATTCGATGAGAACACGGGAGTAATCTCAGTTGATGATTTTTTCTGTGGTTGTTGTTTGCCGAGTTGATGTTGCATTTGCATTTGCGCCTTCTTCTGACCCTGTTTTCTCCTGGATGCAAAATGGGAAAAAGAAGACGACGAGGAAGGAGAAGTATAAATAGGCGAAGAAGTATAAATCTCCACCATCGAATCCTGAGACTCGGTATGAATCAACCTATGACGATGTTGATCATTTTCCCAATATTTAGCGGAGCCGGGACCGGAGTGTTTGTCGGTGAATACATCGGATTCATCGTATTTCTCCATATTATCGTGCTCGGTCTCATCCCCCTCATCGTCATCTTCATCATTAAATATACCCATATAACTTTCTGCTCCGACAAATCTATTGCCATTCTCCTGTCCTGTAATTTTAGTAACCTCCCCATCGCATTTCGAAAGATGCATACTATCCAGCATCTCCTTACAAGATTGATGTATAGATTTCCAGGTCTTCTGATTTTGCTTCTTCGGAACCATCTTCCCTCTTCCTCTTCCACTTCTGCTCTTGACACCTCTCTGATTTCTATCCCCTGTACCTCTCATATCTCCAATCCCCTCATTCTCATCCTCATAAGTCCCCTTCATCCGCTCACCACCATATCTCCCACTTCCCCTCCCAATCCCAAACAACAACTCCCCACCCAATACCTCCCCAAAAGGCGATTCCATCGGCGGTGTATCCGGGCCCATAAATCGCCCCTCTACCCTCGAAATAAGATATTCCGCATGCTGTGCTGATGGTCCCGAGAGCGGATTCGTATCCAAATCGCCCGCAGCACGACAAGGCAAGGGCTTCGCTGGTTTGCCATTGGGACTGGATAATTTGGGCATTGGGATTGCGGCTGAGATATCATTCATCTGGTTTGAGTGATTGAAGTAGTTTGTATGATCGCCATGAAGAATATAATCATGGTACTCATCTCTCCCAAACTCAGCCCCAGCCTCAACTCCTTCATCTGCATGCGCAACAGATACATTTTTCCTCGAATGAAGATTTAGATTCTTCAGGGGAAAGTTCGTCGCAAGACCCATGTTGAGATTTGAGAGGAAGGATTTGCTATGCGAGGTATTCCATAGATTGCGCATTTTAGATGTGAGATTGAGGTTGGGGTGGGGCTGCTAGGAGCGCTGGAGTTAGAACTAGAGGATGGTGAGGATTGGGCGGAGGAGGATGACGAGGATCGTTGGGGTGGTGGATTGTGAATTGTAGAGTTGTGGCTTGTTTTTAATGGTCTTGGTCTTGGTGTTGGTGATGTTGGAAACGATGGTTTTGAAATATCTCTCTGCTCGAACGGAATCCGTGGGTTTTGACGTGGGGTTTCCGGATTCGCCATGATGTGGTTGAGAGATGATGCTTAGAAGATGTTGGATGTTGGATGTGTATGTAGATAAGTATTTTGTATTTCCTTTATCAATTCTGAAGTGATGTTTTAGATTCTTGATGTATATGTATATCAAGATATCCAGAAGTTTCTCAAGAGTGTGAGGTCGTGAGATGTGTGTTTGATGAATAGATGATCTTGAATATGAAGATGAATGTGAGTAGATTTAGAATGAAATCCAAACTCCGAATATGCTTTCCAACACAACGTCAACTGCGAAACTTATATACTTTCCCTCCCAAACAAAACACTTTGTTTCCTACGGCTGTACGGTTCTATCTTATGGAACCCTCAAGAACAGCCGTGTATATCTATACAAAATGAAATAGAGAGAACCGATCCTATCCGTGAATCCCCAAGTCCGGTGTTATTGTACAGTAAACTTATTGATGAACGTCCGTGTTGTCTATATCTGAATATATGAGATGTAGATGATTAATCACCAAAACATAGCTGTGCAGTGATTGGAGTTGCGGCTAGCTTACTTGCTACGGCATGCCAATCATCCTAGATGAAATTCAAGTTATGTAAAGAAGAGAGAGGAGAGAGGAGAGAGGAGAGGAAATTAATACATCTTGATACAGTATAGATGACGTACATGCAGAAATGTATCGATGAATAATAATAAAATTAACAAGTAGTACAAACTACAGCCGTGCGGTTTACTCGACTACAGCCCACCAATTTCAAAATCAATTCCAATCACTCCAGACAAAAAGAAAGCGAAAAAAGTGAATAGAATCAAGTGAACCTATATCTAGATCCCGAAACAGCACTTATGACGTAATTACAGAAATATATTAGTGAATAATACTAACAATAAACAACTAATATCAACCGCAGCTGTACAGCGACTAAAAAAGCATTTATTTACTCGCTCGCTACAGCACACCCATCTCAACACCTCTCCCAATCACTCCAGAATACAAACGAAAAATACAGCTAAAGAGTGAATAAGTTCAAGAACTTGATATACAGGATTTTAAACAATATATGATGATGTAACTACCTATACGGATAATCACAGAAATAGATCAATGAATAACAACCACAAAAGCAAACAAACTAAAACAATATACAAAATACAAAAATATAACCCCCCGTCCTCACCCAAAACGCGAACCCATCCATCCATCCAAGCAAACTCACCTACAGATCCCGAAACAGCATCGCTAGGATCTGATGTAAAGACAAAAATACGTGCGTATGCGTGAATTGTATAATTATAATTATAAATGAATGATTCATTACCACTAGGCTTGCATACCTATCTACCTACCTATCTAGATACAATATATAATACAATATAGTACAATACAACACCATACCCACCCCATATAAAAAGAAGCTAAATGAAGCAAGCGAAGAAGGAAAAGTTTATGGAATAGAAAACCTCTCGTGAGAATAGAAGATTGAATATGGGATGTGATAATATGATACAGCATGATATGATATAATAATATCGCACTATACGATACAATACAACACATAGATCTGAGTATTCATCCAGTCTCATCTATTCATCTCCTCATTTATTCATGTTGTTTTCTCGGGGTACCTACTTCGGTGCTTTGGGTGATAGATTTAGTGAAGAGTTGGATTTTTGATTTTGATTTTGATTTCGAGTTATAAGATGAGATCAGATGAGATAAGATGAGATAAGATGAGATAAGATGAGATAAGATGAGATAAGATGAGATAAGATGAGATAAGATGAGATAAGATGAGATAAGATGAGATAAGATGAGATAAGATGAGATAAGATGAGATAAGATGAGATAAGATGAGATAAGATGAGATAAGATGAGATAAGATGAGATGGATTGTGGGATGAAGTATTTGGAAATTTTGGTTGAGCGGGATGATCGTATCATACACTTACAAGGATTTCAAGGTCAAAATTGATTAGTGTGATGGAGTGAGGAGGAGGCAAGAAATAGTACTCACTTGTCAGGTATTTTGATGATCGAATTGGAGATTCTGGATATGTATATTTATATGTGTGTATGGGAATACAAACACACAAACCTTTTCAAGATTTAGCAAACCATAATATCAGTATCAGGCAATAAATGGAAATCGCTCACAGCCTCATAAAATACACCAACTCCTCACCTCAAATCTATCCTCCACCACACTTTCCCCCACACCTACCCACCCTCTCCCAATGCACCAAATGACCCCTAACTGTCCTCACCCACCCTGCATAAACCACCGTACTTACCCCCACCGCCACCAAACTCACTAATGCCACCCACCCAAATTGATCTTGTCTCGACCAAATAATCGCCATTACATAATTCCCCAATTCAAACAGCGCGACGAGGGAGTATTCGCAGCCGGCGAAGGAGGAGCGCTGAGTAGGTGCGATGAGGGTTTGGCTTAATTGTTGGGTGGTGAGATCGAAGATCCAGAGACCGAGACGGGAGAGAGAGAGGGAAGTGAATAGGAAGAGAGCGAGAAGGGGAGTATTAGGGGAGAGGAGGGGAGTGTTGGGGATAGAGGTGGAAGTAGAGAGGATCCAGAGGATAAGGGTTAGGGGATCTGGTATTTGTTTAGTATGTGGATATACATAGATACTGATCACTCTTGAGAGGATACTTACGAGATTAAGAAATTGCCATGAAAGACCCCAAAGACCTAATCGTTCCAATCCAGTAGTGATTCTTCCCGATTCATCGATTTCGCCTTCTCCCTGTAATAAAACTTCATCTGAACCATTGGATCCGTGTAAACGATCATATGGACCATGTCCATGAGCCTTTGAAAGATGTCGAACTCCAAAGGGTGTTACAACCGTGCTACTAATTTCCACCAAACTTCCCGCTGCTCGAGCGAGCGTGATAAGACCCAACGAAAATCCCGCATTCAACAAGAACGTGATAAACGTGGCACCATACGAAAGTGCAGAAAAATGAAGTAAAGAGAGCGACATGGAAGGAATCCAAACTTTAGACGAAAAATAATTCCCAAAGTCTTCCTTGTGCAAACGAAGTCCTCGCATGAATTTCTCCCTCAAACTTCGCACCTCGACATGCGATACCACTTCATCACTTCTAACCTCCTTCTGTTGTTGCAATCGAGTATTAGAACTCCATACTCTCCTCGCAGACCACATTTCCAATCCCCAACTCGCAGCACTCATCCCACCTACAACAATCACCCCAATTTTTATGCCCAGTCGCGAGATTAGGAATGAGATTAATATCGGAGCGAGGAGTTTACAACTCAAATCGATCCTTCTCATCGAAGAATTCAAATGCGTGAGATCATATTGATTTCCTTCCGGTGCAGCAGCAACAACCACCCAATCTCTTTCCATTGACAGCATATTCCCATTCGCGCTCAATCCTTCCAAAATACCAAATCCAAGAATTGGCAAGAACATGACAATTTTCATGGTATCTCTAAACGTAACATCATCTTTCCTAGACTGAAGTAAAGCTACACCATTTTCAGGATTGTTCTCCGATTCAACCACGAAAAACCATAATACAGAAGCGCAAATCACCACGATTCTGTTTAACCGTGATCGTCGTCAAAAGAGTCTTCAGTCGGTCTGGACTCTTATCAACCCATCTCCCCTACACTAGAGAGAAACAAATAGATGCTAGAGTCCTCACAATACCACTATCGAAATCCAAATCATGGTAATCAGTATATATTCATCACGTGATCTTTCTCTTTTCACCTCCTTGTTCCACATCCCCATCGTGTAAGGAGGAGAAAACATACCGGATAGAAGCAGCAACCAATGTATCAGGCCATGCATTTGCCGTGAAGATAATCTATAATCCATCAGAAATTTATCAATCGTCCATAATCTAGACTCTCCATCGCATAACATAACTCACCGCCGCGAATTCATAACTCCTTCCATTCCAGGTGGATAAAAAATGACTCAGATAAAGAGCCCAAGCTTGGGTTTTATTCATTTCCATTTCCATTTCCATATTCATTTCCGTCTGCATCACTTCTTGCTCAGCCCCATTCGATATCAAAGCGCCTTCCTCACCCCCCTCGTCCCCATCCCCATCCCCATCATCTGAGATTGAATCCGAACCCGAATCTAGATGCAAACCCGAGTCCAAATTCTGCGAACGCAAAGTCATTTGAACCCCTCCCGTTCTATTTTCATCTATCGCTTCGCCGTGGGTTGAACAATGCTCTCCAACTGTAGCCATATCTAGGGTTGAGGATTTGTAATGATATAATATTAAACATTCGTTGATGAAATGTAGTATATCATATCAATTACCTACTGATATATGGTGTATATCAGGGTGAGTAAGGTAAATATTTTGAAGCTATTTTGATGATCAAAGGAGCGAATTTGATAAGACTAATTATGAATTTCTCAACAAGTTCAAAATGGATATTCACGTGACTATGTGGATATTATGATTTGTATGGAATGTATTCCCATTTGGACGATCGAATTGGAAATAAGATTCTTCAAAAGAATCTAGACTTTGATTCTATTTTTATTCATTTTGACGTTTCTATTGGTAGATAATACGCGTGAATAGGCTTAACATAAGTCGGGCACCCTACTTTCGGGCCACCCCTGTTTTGGGCCACCCTTTCACACCAAAAATTACTTTTTGGGCCTATTAATATCTCTATCAATATATAATATAATTCAATGAAAATTTATATGTAGATAATTTAGATTGTTTTAAGCTTATTCTGAAATTCTTAGATATTTAGGACTATTCTGGATTGAGAGCTAAAGGTTCAAAATATCGATTTTCAAATTTGTATGGGAATCACATATAAATTTAGAATTTTTATAAAACCTTCAATAAATTTTTAAACAACAATTATTAAAAGAAAACTATATATCTTTTTGAAAGATTTGAACTTAAATCTATATAGAAATTCAAAAAAAAATTAAAGAAAATTAACAAGATATAAAGATATAGTATACGGTGAGTTTAGAGTAGTATAAATAATCCCTGTCATTTTGAGGGTACCCCTATAAATATTTATTTATAAGAAATTTCTTTTTTTTCTGAATCTCTTATATTAAACATACTATAAATTTATAATAAAAATTTTATAGTTTACTTTTAGCAATTTTTATTAAAAAGTTATTAAAGATTTTATAAAAATTTAAATTTGTATGTGATTCCCATATAAATTTAGAAATCGATATTTTGAAGCTCTAGCTCTCAATACAGAAAAATCCTAAAAATCTAAAAATTTCAGAATAAGCTTAAATCGATTCAAATTATATATATACAAATTTTTATTGAATTCTATCCATAAATAAGAAAGTTAAAAATTCCATTTTTGGTGTATTTTGGGTATAAAAAGTGGCCCAAAAGGGGGGTGGCCAGAAAGTGGGGTATCCGACTTAATATTTTACACTACCTAGGTAATCACAAGTGTGACGATATGAAAAAAAAATACTTAATCATGCGTAAATTATATAAATCTGCTCGTTTCTACTCATAGCTGGAGGTATCTCTTCTCCCAACGACTCAGCCTCATCATGCAATTTCAATATCAAAGTTTCTCTTCCGGGACCCTCCATTCTTACACTCGGTCCATGAGCTCTTTATATCCGTATCCATTACCTTTTCATTTCCATATCTGTATCCATTACCTTTCCATTCCCTTTCCCTCCCCTCCGTGCCATTCCCCCATCCATCCATCTCTCGCACAATCCCAACATCCGAGCGCCGACTCTTCCCTCCATCTAAAGTTTGAACCCAATTGTACATGCCCCTCTCTGCTACTATTTTAAGAATTCTCGTCTCCGAGTGCTCCGTACGAAGTCCAACACCAATATCAATACCAATACCAATATCAATAGAAACAAAAACAAAACCAAAAATAAAATGAACCCTCGGGTATGTAGGGAGGTAGGCACCCAGTAGCCACAAACAAGACAAGCTGCCTAAGCTAAGATAAAAGTCAAGTCAAGTCAAGGGTAGATAGATACACCTGGGCATTTGTGACCCTACCTTTCCCTGTTTTTCCTCCCTTCCATTTCCCTTCCATTTCTCCAATACCAATACTGTATTCTCAGTGTAGTAAGCCCCCCCTCCTTCCAAGAACCGAACCGAACCGAGCACTAAACTGATTGAACTGAACTCGCAAGCACAATGTACATAGGTAGAAAAACCCTTATTTACATGCTCTAATTATATTCATATTTCCCTCTTATCCACTCACTAGGTAGTTAGTAGGTAGGTGCCTATCCACTGTATGTATATAATTTCCGATTCAAATACTCGTATATACAATACATACAACCTTACTTGACGACTAAGTAGGCTCTATCGTAGGTATGTGAGTAAGTATGTGAGTAAATAACCTAGAACACCCTACCTATCTAGTACTCCATACAATACCCTCAATAAACCTCACTCCTCAATCTCAATCTCAATCCCTTCTCAAAATCTCAAAATCTCAACCCACATACTCACATTCCCACCATACCCAGCTCAAGATATCATACCTATACATATCAATCATATACTCCCAAGGTCCATCAATTCAATTCAATTCAATTCTACAAATTCTCATCCATCCATCTGTCTATAACCACCTACCTATTCTACAATAGTATCCTTTAATTGAATTCCCCTCTACTTTACCTACCTAGCTAGATAAATAAATAAATAAGTTTCATCACATCCCTATAACAAACATCTCTGACAACACATGAACACAATCACATTATCACAACCCTATCTAGATACCCACCTACCCCTCCACGAAACACCAATTTCCGTCCCTCCCCTCCGTCTTCCACCCTCCATTCCCTTCCCTTCCGCTCTCCGTCCGCGTCCACATCCACATCCAACCAACTACCGGTAACTAATTAACACCTCTTTTGTATATCCATCTCCAGCTATTAATCAGATACAGTAGGTAGATATTTAACGATACAAACCACATTTCTTTGCCACTTTTCAATGACCCAATCCCAGTTCTCTCCTCCCAAGTTCCCTAACAAAATGTCATTATAATGTGATGTGATGTGAGGAAAATAAATAAAGTGGTTCGTTCGTTCGTTCGTTCACAAGCGATCCACTGAGCCACCAAAAGGTCCCTGATAATCATAATCATACTTCGTAGTCGAAACCCTAACATTTTTCGAGAAATTGAAAAAATGAGAGCTCGGAAAAGTCGGTTGGTGGGTGTTGGGTAATCGGGTTGTTTACTTACTCACTTTTAGGTACTTACTCACTCGCTCAGAATAGCAGTTGCGGTTGTGGGCGGTTGTTTTGGGATGGGAGGAGAGGGGGATGAATATGATATAGATGGTATGGTATGATGATTATGTATGTATGTATGAATTATAGATATAAATATTTGTAAATATGGGGAGAGGGATTGAGGATGGAGGATGGAGGATAGAGAATAGGAAATAGAGAGTAGAGAGTAGAGAAGTGAGAAAAGAAGAATAGGGAGTTTCTTGATACTAGGATAGATTAATATTTTGGATATGAATAATTATATATATTTTATAATTGAAGATTGAAGATTGAAGATTGAAGATTGAAGATTGAAGATTGAAGATTGAAGATTGAAGATTGAAGATTGAAGATTGAAGATTGAAGATTGAAGATTGAAGATTAAAGATTTGATATATATTTAATATCTTAATACTAAATACCTATTTTCATAATAAAGGAATATTTAAATAACAAAATAAATCCTAAAATTTCTAGATACTTAAATACCCGATTTCCCTACTACGTGCACGTCCCTGCTATATGCACGATCTCGATCACCCTTTTTGAATAACTTTAAAAATTAATAATCATAATTCCAATTTATAAGATAAAGAGCTAGCAATTTAATTGATTAATTGATAAGATCAATACTATCTAAAACATAATAAAATCTTCAGATTTTGAATTTCGATGAAATTCGTATGCTCGCCCTTTACTAGATCGCAATATAACCTCCTCCTCCTTCCCTTCGAATTATTAGTCTTTATAGCATCAAAGAGCTCTATAGTCTTTGTCGATATTAGATCTATAGTAAAAAAAGCTTTGGGGAACTTTTTATTTCTTTTGATTAAAGATTTTGTTGATTTTAGAGTCTTTTTAATCTCCTCTTTTGTATTATGTATAATCTGACAATCAACCTCCCTCCGCAATATCTTTTCTTTTATTTCAATCTCCTTCTATTCCTTCTCAATTTTCTTTTTAGTTTTTATCTAAAGCTTAGCTTTCTTTTTTTGTTTTTTTTTAAATACTTTATTTTCTTGATATGCTTTAGTTTTAATAATAGCAGAAGGTAATTATAAAAACACATCATTCCTCTCCTCTCCAATAAAATTTAAATACTTTGAACAAGCTCTTTTCCTTTTTCAAGCTTTAAAGCCTCTTCTAAACCTTTAGATCTATACCCTTGTATAAAAGCTTCAACTTCTAATATAGTTACAGCCTTAAAAAGCTTTAAAGTGATCTTATAGGTAGGAGCGCAATGAAATTCTAATTTCATTTTACACATCGCTTTTGATATATACGGTATAGCAAAAGTATTCCTGCAAGTTTTAAATAATATAATATCGTACAGGACAATAGCATATCACGATGGAGGGGAATGATTGGACAATAATGGTATAAGTATAAGAATGTGTATATCTTCTCATCTACAGTTAGAACTGATCTTTTCTCGTAGAGAAGAGATCGGATTATATATTGGGTGATCTTCGGGTACCGATTACGGGAGCGGTGATCGGTCCTATAGCCGATCCGGTTATCGTGTTCCGCTCCGGAGTATTCTATATAATGAATACCTGATTATCATATAATCTGATCCATATGGTCTACAATACTGTTTCCGTTATACACCCCCAGATCGCAATGATCTGCATAAACAAACAAAAGAAATTAGCGCAGTTGCACCTTGTTGGAACCTCAATGTAATCTAGATCATACAATAAAATCATCTTATCCCTACTATAGCAAGGCTTTGATGTCTATTCCCTATATAATCGGTATGAGAGTGTGATATAAAGGAAATTTTGACACGCCCCTAGCCGTCGGTAAGTCGTTTGATTCAGGCATTATGGGGTGATATCTCTCATTTTCCACCATATTGCCTGAAAATTTTCAAAGGATCGCAAATAGATGCTTTCTTGAAGCCTCACTTCGCTATGTATGCCTGCTGATCTGCCATTACAAACAGAAAATACAGATTCTGATCCTCGTATCCACGGATATATGCTGCAATATCAGTATTGTTATCCGAATAGAGTAATTGAATTGATGATTATAACAATGGTAGCATTAGATTGCCAGAGATATTCAGGAAGTCCAGGCGATTTCTGATCAAGTGATCTTATCTATGTACAGGGCAAATGTAATCTATAATATACGCCCTTTCCTTTGAACTTTTCTTTTTCTAGATATCAATATTATTATATTTTGTTTCCTTTCGAATGGATTACCCATCTTCTGATAAACGTAGTCCTGGTCGGTCCAAAAACTCTGAAAAACAGGGCGCCGTGGTCGGCCAAGAAAGCATCCCTCTACTATTCCTTTTTCTCCTTCTACTCATAATGAGTTCTCTTCTGAACCTACATTTAAACATAGTTCACTTCCACCCCCAAGGTCCCCTACTCCAGCAGCGACTGATCCTCCAACAACACCATTGACTGCTCGTCCAAGTGATCTTGCTACCATTGATCCTGTCCCTGCTCCTGTAAGCCCTACTACTGATCGACCATTGATTTAGCAGCCACTTCTTCCCGAAAAACCTTCCTGAAATCCCTCGATTGGTTTTCCTCAACTGCTCCCTTCTGCTCTGCCATCGAATAATAGCCTTGCCGATCCCAACTATACTGCCTTCCTTGCTTGGATGCATCAAGCCCACCAACACCCTCCACTAGAAAGTGCTATTAACCCCATATTTCCTTTTGCCCCTATTATGTTACTCCCCCTATTCCTGTTCCTATTGCTATACAACAAGGATCTCTGCCTGTAGCCCCACTAGAAGTAGGTATTGTCATTGCCCCTAGGTTGACCACATGCTGATTCGAAATTAGACATAATCCGCTCGAAAGCATACCTTGTATGGTACTGCCCCGGGAATTTGTTGTGACAATCCTGAATTGTGTTTTTTCTATAGCTTAGAAGGAGTGATTATTCCTGATTCTCAAGAGGCTATTGCAATTCCTGCAGAATCAAGGGAAGATTACTAACTAATCAAAATCAAATATAAGGATCCGGATGACTTCGGAATTCCCAATTCTCTCAATAACTGATCTGGATTGATTATCGCTGTGTCTGTTAAGTATTGTCCTTTTTGCGATCCGGATAGCTACTTTCGTGTTCCCTTTTTCTTGTACAACAATCCTGATGAGCATAGATTCTACAATCTCTGTACTTTCAATAGTAATCCTGATAACGACTTGCCTCTTGCAGATCTTTAGTATATGAGGATTGAAAGTAATCCGCTAAGGGCATTTGCTAAAGCTCGGTCCTCATAATCTGACAAGTTTACCAAAAGGCTAATAAACAATC